TCTCTCTCTCTCTCTCCTCCCCTCCCCTCTCCTTCCCTCTAACCCCCCCTCCCCCAACAAGCAGTGGACAGTGTGCCAAGTGTACCAGCAGGGGTACACCACTATGTTGATAAGGGAAGGTCGGACCCCAACAATGGCGGGATTAGCCCGGAAATCGATCGCAGATCTATTGGGTGTTTAATCATACAACTGACTGCAGTCCCAGCCAGGGGGCAGGTCGTAGCGAAACTTTTCTCTGCAACTTTTCTCAAGTGTCTAGCTGCTCGCTCGCCCGACGCTTGCTACAACAACTACAACTATCTCATCCAATGTTTGGAAACTTTCAAATACGGACTATCTGTGGAGTATCTGTGAACTATCTGTGGACTATCTGAAATTACCTGTGGACTATCTATGAACTATCTTTGGACTATCTATGAACTTTCTGTGGACTATATTATGTTGCTATTTGGTAAGTGTGTGCGTGTGTGTGTGTGTGTGTGTGTGTGTGTGTGTGTGTGTGTGTGTTTGTGTGTGTGTATGTTGCTATTTGGTAAGTGTGTGTGTGAGTGTGTATGTGTGTGTGTTTGTGTGTGCGTGTGTGTGTGCGTGTGTGTGTGTGTGTGTGACGGTCAAGTTTCAGTCTGGAAACACGCGTTGCTACCGTCTTTATTTACAAAACTCAGTGTAATAGAGAACTGTCAGTGGCTTTACATGTAGTCTATATTGTGGACGTATTAATAAAACCCAGTCGTATAGACAAGCTATAGAATATTTTTGGACATATTTACCATACAAGAGAAAAGTCAGTTATTGTATATTTGCGGACGTATTTACCGAATAATAGAGGGGTTATTCTCTCTCTTTGAGGACTCATTTACAAAACTCAGGTATATTAGCAAGTAATGGTCTATTTATTGACGTATTTACCATACAATACACAAGTTATAGTCTGTCTGTGGACGTATTTACCATACAAAAGACACGTTTTCTCTTAATGTTGTTTATTCACAATGTTGTAGAGAGGTTTTAGTCTGTTCGTCGATTTTTTGAAAATGGAATAGTGAGATTATACTTATTTTGAGACTTATTTGCTATAGGACAAAAAGATTACATATATTTGGGGACTTATTTGCTATAGGACAAAAAGATTACATATATTTGGGGACTTATTTGTTATAGGATAAAAAGATTACATATATTTGGGGACTTATTTGCCGCACAATATTGAGGTCACAGTCTGTATGTCGGCTGTTTGCCTCAACTACAGACATGGCTTTTATCTATCTATCTATCTATCTATCTATCTATCTATCTATCTATCTATCTATCTATCGATTGGCCTGCCTGTCTGTCTATCTATCTGTCTGTCTCTCTGACTGGCTGTCGTATAGACATTGGAAATCTAAAAACAGCAACAACAACAACAACAACAACAACAACAACAACAACAACAACAACAAAAACTCAACAACAACAGTTACCACAACAAGAACAAACACCAACTACCCCAGAAAGAACACCTGCAACATCATCATCATCAACAACAACAACAACAACAACAACAACAACAACAACAACTACAACAACAGTGACTACAACAAGAGCACCCAACAACAACAACAACAACAACAATAACAACAACAACAAAAATAACAACATCAACAACAACAACAAAACAATAACAACAACTGCACCCAACAATAACAACAACAACAACAACAACAACAACAATAGCAACAGCAGCAACAATTTGTGCGCAATTTGGAAGCACGAATTTACATATTTCATTGCGTGCATGTTGTTAGTTGCCTAATCTAAGTTTCAGCTAAAGTAAACATTTGAAAAATCTTTGTAAGTAACAACGTTTGGAATGTCCTCAAACAGCACGTCTTCGCTGAGCTAAGGCTGACTCGCGATTGTGGTGTCCGTTCTGTGTCTGTGTCTGTGTCTGTGTCTGTTTCTGTGTCTGTGTCTGTATCTGTCTCTGTCTGTCTCTGTCTGTCTCTGTGCCTGTTTCTCTATCTCTGTCCCTTTCTGTGTCTGTGTCTCTGTATCTGTCACTCTCCCTGTCTCTGTGTCTGTTTCTGTCTCTGTCTGTCCCTGTCTTTGTCTGTGTCTCTGAGTCTGTCTCTGTATCTGTCTCTATCTCTGTCTCTGTCTCTGTCTCTTTCTCTGCCTCTGTCTCTATCTCTGTTTCTGTCCCTTTCTCTGTCTCTGTCTCTATCTCTGTCTCTATCTCTGTCTCTGTCTCTGTCTCTGTCTCTGTCTCTGTCTCTATCTTTGTCTCTGTCCCTGTCTCTATCTCTGTCTCTGACTCTGTCCCTTTCTCTGACTCTATCTCTATCTCTGTCTCTGTCTCTATCTCTGTCTCTGTGGCTAGCTCATATCCCCATTTGCTTTCTCTCTTTTTTCCCTCAATCTTCTAATTCTTTCTTTCTATTTTTATTCTTTTTTTTTCTTTGAAGTAGATCTAATCATAGCTGTGTACAGATTTAGCACCTTGCCACGTTTGTTGTGGGCTCAGCCGGAGGTAAACCTCAGTCCCGTCAACACTGGCCGGCTCCGATATAGCTGACAAACAATACACGCCAGTGCAAACGGATTTCAAAGCAGATTAAGCCAGATTAGGTCTGTCCGGCGCTATTCCCGGGTCCTTTGCCGCATTGAAAGTTGAAAGACGTCTCGCTATTTTGTGTCCATCTCTCTCTCTCTCTCTCTCTCTCTCTCTCTCTCTCTCTCTCTCTCTCTCTCTCTCTCTCTCTCTC